GCTGGGCTCTGGTGATCATTCCGCTCAGCGTTCCAAGTAGCCGGAATTACAGACATGCGCTATCACGCCCGGCTGATTTTTTAATTTATTGTAGAGATGAGGTCTCGCTGCCCAGGCGGGTCTCGAACCCGTGGGCTCAGGCAATCCACTCACCTCAGCCTCCCAAAGGCATGGGATTATAGGCTGAACCACCGAGCCCGGCTATTCTTGTTCAAGATAGAGTAGGAAGGAAAAAAATCGACTTCTCAATATATAATTATTCTTGTTTCTTTCTTTTAAAACACACATGCTTTTGACTTATACAAGTCTATTCTTAATATTGTCACTTTTTTACTTTACAGATCAGGACATTAAGGTTGGGAAGATATATTAATATGCAAGATCACAGAGCAAGTAGTATGATTTAAATGCCATCAAATGCCAAAACTAGTTCCTCATGCTATTGAGTCTATCAAAAATAATTTTTGAACTATGATAATAATGGAAAGTCACTTTTCAAGAGGCAGCAAGCTATTGTGGGCTGACCCTTTGGACATGCCTGGGAGAGGTGCTTGAGAGCATAAAGCAACTGTATATTTTTCCAAAAGGTGTTTAAAAAAAGGTTTAGTTGTACCTTGGTATTCAAAGGGTGGAGGGAAAATAAACTAATTCAAAGCTCTTTGACCTCCCTGGGAGGCCAAAAGCCTGGGAGAGCAGTAAACCTTCCAAGAAGCCAGGGGCGGGGGGGGGGGGGGGAGAAGCCACTACAATAATTGCAGGGAAGGATAAGTCTGAATAGGTGTCTTGTACATGTCATCATCTGACACATGGGAACCGTGCCAATCGGTAAGATCTGGGAAATTATCAAAGAAACACATGGACAGTGACAGGTCTCATGTTGAATGAGAAGTTTGACATTTTAAAGATGGACTAGCACTGATTTATTTGTCAGAAAAGCAAGTCTGGGAATTGTTTATCATGCATGTAAGTATATGTGTACGTTTAATACTGGGAAAGGTATACAGAGGGTTTTTTTTTTCTCCCTAAAATGAAAAGAAAGGAATCCAAAGGTCAAATACAGAACAGATTTGGCCCAAACTTTCCAAAAATAAACAAGTAAAGAGTACCACAGGAAAAAATGATCTCTGAGTTGTAGCCATGTACGAAGTATTTAAAAATAGAGATGCAGGAGGGAGCCTTTAACCAGTTAGTGCGTGATTTTTAACCAAATACATTCATAACTTAATAACTATTATTTCTCGTTATGTGGCAATCTATTTCTTTACATGATGAGATACAATCATGCCTTAAAATCAAGAATTATGAGAGCCCCAAAATGATTGTTTCATTTATATAACCATACTATTAATATGTTAACTAAACTATTTCCAAAATAAGCCAATGTGGAACCAGTGTGCTTTTCAAGGGTCCATCAGTTTTAAAAATGACTGCATCAGAAACGAAATGTAGTTTTTCAATCTCTTTTTGTATTTTGGATAATTGAAATAATCTTGGATTTCTCTTTTGCCCAATTCTACTCAGTCTTCCTGCAATATTAGAAACAGCTGAGTAGTAGAAACTGGTTAGTTAAACTTACTGAGGGGAAAGGACTTTTAAATTTGTCAAGTGTCTCTGCTGACATAAGCTTATGTCTGCAAATTTTCTATTCTGGTCCCTGGAGAGTGAATTTTGTTATAGTAAAATCTTTTTTTTCCCCCTTTTTGATGATTTTGTTTGTAATTCTCTTTTATGATTTCCCTTCATGATTTTATTAGCCACTTTTAACTTAAAAGTGCTGCAGCACTGGCCCCTGTATTGGCGGAAATTCAAGCACAGCCAATAGTTTAGCTGAAAGAAAATTCCCAGTAGTCAGAACCAGACTCTGACTTGATCTCTTTTTAGAACAAGCCTTTAAAAACAGCTCTGCTTTAAACAAAAATAAAAATAAATAAAGCAGTTCTTCCTCTAAAGGGAAGGTAATTGAGGAAAACTGTTCAT